TTACTATGAGACCTCTAACTTAAGTTCCCTAGTGATGAGACTTGTTAATCTAAATATCTGTCCACATGTAGCAGTGAACTTAATAGTGCGTGCACACCAATGCTCTGTAACACATTACCTGAAACCGTATTATGTGATACTACTTTAACAAAAATGTCTGTCTGTCCATTTGAATAACACTATTATTGTATAAGGATGGTATTAATTGATATTACTAGGTGATCTGTAAGTGTTCAAGTCACTTAGCTAGAGGGCTTCTTAACCTAGTACTGTTGGTATTTTGATCCAGATAATTCTTGGTTGTGTTGGGCTGTCCTGTTTATTGCAGAATGTTTATCAACATCCTTTGTGTCTACATAATAATCCTCAACTGAAAACTAATACACTGTCTTTAGCATTTCATAGCAGTGCAGAAAATTCATGACAGAAATGTTTTTTTAAAAAAAACACAGTGGCTGTGTGCTACATTGAAGATGCAAAAATGCCAGCCTGCATTTTCCTAGGTATTCAGACTATGCATTCTGTATTTCTGTGTAACTTCCAAAAGGTGAGTGAGCCCTCATTAAACATTTTTTATTTGTATATTACTTACCTCTCTACTTTCACCAGCTCCAAAAAACTGAGGGAAGTGAGGGAGGGTGCTAGTCAAGTCACTTAACCTCACTCATGGTAAACTCTTGAAATATAATGATGCCTACTCGGACCTACCCTCAGACATCCCATTTCTTGTAATTAAACAGGTTTAGATATGTGAGAAGTGCTATGCACATGTTTTAAGCTTAAAAAAAAATGGAACACTGGTAAAGACAGGAAATTTAATTTTTATTGATATACTATGATTTCCTTTTGGATATATGATGAAGTATAATTAACAAAAATATAGCACTCTAACATTTAAAATTTAAACTTTCATGGGCCTCCCTGGTGATACAAGGGGTTAAGTCTCAGCAATAAGGAGCAGTCGAGCCACCACTATTGCACCAGTTCACGCCCCGGCCAGGGAGCTGACCCACATGGCACAGCAGACCACTCCAGTCTTGTCCACTGCTCCCCTCAGCAGTATATTTCAGTCAATCTGCCTATTCTGCTCCCCACTCTGTCTCTGGTGAGTCCACTCACCCCCTGCACTTCTGGCCTATATCCCAGGTCTTCAGTGCATAAATATTTTTCAAAATATGAAATATAATTAAAACTTTCAGGATTACCTTTGATTAAGTAAAGCTTTAGTTTCAGAAAATAATGCTTTATTTCAATAGTATTCTCATATGCAATACAACTTCTCCAAATAGCAAATTTAGGTATAAAATTTTTTATAAATTTTCCTATGTACAAAAGATTGACTCTGCCACAACTGTACCTTGCTAAAACCCAAATCATAAAGGCTTAAACAACCAGAGTAAAGTCATATTCTACTGATGCTATCAAAACTAAATCTTAAAGATGCATAAACGGAACATGGTACCACCTCAAATACTGATTCAATACATTGGGCAGAAGTCATAAATAGTGGTCTCACGATAATAACAAGAGATAGAATTATTTTCAAATATGTAGCAACAACATATATTACTATTATCCTTATTACAGAGACACACACATACCAATGTACAAGAGTCCTGTGAAGTAAGAAATCCAGAAATCATCTTAGAAATACTTCCTAAGTTACAATAATTGAAATGAAAGTAACAATATGGAATGATGATAAGTGGCACTATTTTTTGATAAGGCACATGAAGACACGACTTATTGGCTAGCAATCCTTTTGAAACATCTACTCTCACTATACTTAATTAAGAATAAACCTATTGCTTAGTTAACTGAAGTAGGATAACAGTCCTCTATTCAAAGCAGTTTTGAAAACTGCACCTCAACTGACTCCCCATGCAACTTAAAATATTTGAAATTAACACAGTGAATAGGTGTTAGGAAACTCTTAAGTTCTTAAAAGTGCTGTGCCAAAGAAAATAGGAATATACTCTTCTAACAGAGACCTCTACTGAGAACATAAAGGTCTGAACCTTATCCTACAATAAGTCTACTTACTGTCTCTCAAATTTACAATATGCAATAAAATTATGTACCCCAAACTTTATAATGGTATCTGAACCCCTGGAAGCCACTTGGCAAACTCAAAATAAGCATGATCCTTATGTTGAGAGACCTTGTCAATAAAATATTTACAATATTTATAATTTTATAGTAATCAATATTAAACTCCAATAATGCAAATTAGAACAAGTTAAGCAGCTACAAACAACTCCAGATTATATGCCAATAGGTTAATAAAATGGCTTCCTGTAAAAAGTGACAAAGAAAAAACATAGCTTTAATATTTTTAATTTCAAAGGACAGCCAGAATGAAATTATTGAATTTGGTCAAAATAAAAGGAATTGGTATCATATTGCCAAGCTATAATGATATTTAACAAATAGAATTTAGAACTAAATATAACTTTAAAATCTCCAACTTCCAAAGATTAGAAGTTCAAAAACATCTGCAGTTCTGAAAAATTCCCATAATATTGCATATATAATTAACAAATTATTAAGTAATAGATGCCTATCTGTTCTATAATAGCACAATGCTCCTCAGACTATAATATCACCAAAATACAAACCCAAAACACTATTGTTAGAATATTTTGAAAAATGTAAAGTATTATAGAACAATACAATAAAAGGAAGCATTTGTTGACCGTACATTTTAAAAGGCTTTCATTTTTTTCTTAAGAATTATCACCACAGGTAGTAAAATAATAAAACCAAATATATTAATAAATTCATTCTTCTGTCCTTGAATTGTTTGGCAACTAGTTATTCCCATATTCAATCTCTAGAACAATGGCCAGTCAAAAATGTAAGTCAGATCTGCTAGGATCTGACTATGGAAAAGAGGAGAGCTTTTAAAATTGCTATTTTAAAATTTAAAACAATTTTAAAATTGTTTAATATTGCTAAATACAACTGAAGCAGTCTAAATAGAACATTGTCAGCATAAGTACTCATAAAGGTAAAATGAGATTTTTTTTAAAGATGACTCATAGTATGTGAAGAGACCAGTCTATACTGTTAATTATTAATAACAATAATCCCTTTTCTCTTTATGCCTGAGGCATAACTTTGCATCCAAATCCACTGCTTCCAGTAGAGTATTTTATCAGACTATTTCTCCCAGAGAAATAAAAAAGAGGAAAAAAGCAAGTCTGGTAGCCAAAGCCTGTGCACCATGAAACAGCTTTAATAACACTTTCTCCTCTTCATCCTCCTCTTCCTCAATTTCACTAAATTTATAGTAAAAAAAAAAAAAACAGTTAAGATTCACAGGGTAACTGTCTAACCTGAAATTAAAAGTAGTTCACAAGAAGGTTTAGAGCTCTAGCTTTGAAATGAGAAAATATGTGTTAAAAAAAATACAACCCGTTTTCCAACAGTCTGTCTATTCAAGTATTTTCCAATATACTATCTAAGAAGTTTAGTACAAATGACTTACTAAAGACTATCAGGGATTGATGGTTCATTATAAAGTTCCCTGGGCCAGGGAGGGAGGTATTTTTGCCAACACCCTCCCCACCAACTTCACTGTCAAATAATTTCATCTCTATAGTGAAAATATCGTACAGGAAGATCCAACAAAACAAGCCTCTTTTTTTTGGATCAGATTGTTTCAAAATATAACAAAACTAAAAAGTTTTCCCTGTTCGAAAATAAATACAAGAAAATTATTTGATATTTAACTGCTGTTTCTCCCAGGGACCTATTTTCTACAAATAGTTTTCAAATTTTTAAATAATGAATGTTGATCATTTCTACCTTGGTATCCAAAATATATGGACATCTGCTCCACTGTAACTTGTTAAGTCACTAAAATAAAAACATTTCTTTAAAAATTAACCTTAAAAGATATATTTACATACTTTATTTTTGATGAATTTATTTGAAAGTTAAAAATACTGTAGTGTGTATTTTTTGAAGTCCAAGGGCATTAGCTCTTACCTGTCCACTTGAAAGAGAAACCACAGAGTTAAGAAACAAAATGAAACCATTTATAAGATTTTAAGATTGGGTAAGAAATATTTAATTGTGTGTGTGTATACATATATATGAAGTATTTTTAATATACTTAAAAGGGAAAAAAGAAAGCATGGCAAGGAAGAAAGTTTTCTTTAAAATTTTTCATCCAGATAATATTAGCCTACAGAACACCAGGTAATCCAATGACCCAGGTGCTCAAAATTCAGCAATCTTCAAAAAGACTGACAGCAAGCATTGGATTGCTGACCAGATGCTGCCAGCCTGATGCTCAGAGACAGGAAGGTGGAAGAGCAGTGGCAGGATCTTGGGCAATGCCCTCTAACCTCTAATACCTGAGCTGGACAGTCATGTCAACACTCCTATCCCTGTCAAACCCCTACTGTGTCCCAGACACAGTGAGCTCAATCTGCCATATCTTAATACAGAATTCAGTTTCAACCCTGGCTTATTGTCCCCCCATTACTAACAAAACCTGTGTCTCCCGGTCTAAGGTTATCTATTCTAGTTCTGCTCTCCGACTCTCAATCTACAACAGAGCCAGTGTGTAGAGCTGAGGAAGTGAGGAGAGGTGCACCCAGGGCCCCGTCAGGCAATTTTCAGTCTACGCTCAGTCTCTGAACCCACACACAAAACAAAATGCATTCCTGCTCTACAGAAGAAAAAAAAAAAAGAAAGGGGAAAGTTGGGGTATTTGGCTATATTTGGAGTAGAAAAAAACATCATTTTACTTAAAAAAAAAATTCTGGAAAGAAAGAAGTAATATCCAGTCAAGAAAGATACTCCAATCACTAGGGTAGGGTCCAATGCACGGTGGGGGGTTAAAGTGGATGTGAAGGGAACAGGACAAGCTCTTCATTCTGGTATTGTTCTCTTGGTTCCCAGGAACTCCATCTTGAATACTAAGGCAAACACTGGTATATAATAATGCCTATGAACCTTGGCTCACTTCTTCTAGAAAACAACAAGAATAATCTAAAATAACACATTTATTCTGAAGAAAATAAACACTTCCCCAGAAATCCTAAAACATTTTGAGGGCAAAATAAGAAATACAACTACAGTGATTCTGATTTTGATCCCAAACAGAAGTCAGATGAAGAAATCTATACAGCTGCAGCTGCAGGGACCTATCATTTACCATCCCTTAATCCCATAAAAAGAAAAACGAAATGTGTCTTTCAAAATAGATGCAATGTTTACACAAGTGACTTCTGGAAATATGTTATATGGAGTCCTTAAAAAAATAAATTACAGCCCATGTAGCAAAGAGAACAGAAGCATAAAACCAAAACCAAAAATGACTGAAAAATGACAGCAAGAGGCTGAAACTGTGTTGTCGCAAAGACTGCAGCCGTGAGCATCTCCACAAAGGTCACAGGAAGACAGCTTCGCTTTGGAGTTGTAACTTCTCACCGCTTGTCTCCCTGTTCAGAAAGGTAGACATGGGTTTATACATCAACCTTGTTGAGAAATACTCACTTTGCCAAAACTTAAGAGCACTTCAGTACAGTTTTCTAAGTTTTCCTTTTCTCATATGACTGCATTTTTCTCTGTAAAAACAACCAAAAGGCTCACAAGGGGACCACAGGACTAACCAAATCCAAGAGAGGAACAAGGTTGTTTGGGCCACAGGCGGCCAACATGTGAGAGAGAGACAGCCTGCCACTGTCTGCATCCCAGCCACAGGCATGTTCATCTCTCGCTGGAATAGCAAAGAGTTCAGAGTGAGGAATGTTTAACCTCCAGAGTTTATTTTACAGTGACATTTCTCTATATGTTCAAATAAAGCTCTAATCATTAGCAATACCAAAAGGATGTTTCTGTAGCTTTATTTTAAAATATAATAAAGTTTGCCTGTGCAATAACCTGTTTCACCATTTTGTTTTTTTATTTATTTTCTATCATTGCTCATTTTGGACAGTATTTTATTTCTCCCTTCAGCCCTATAGTTCTCCCCCTACCACACTCCCTTCTGCTCTTCCCTCCCCCTTTTGACCTCCTCCCTTCATGCCTGAGATCTATGGTCAGCTGGCAAGTTTTGTCTTTTTTTTCCTGATTCTTTGTTAGGTATTTCTATATTCCACATGTGAATGAAACCATCAGATATTTTTTTCCTGACTTATTTTGTTTAGCTCCATCACTTTTGCTGCAAGTTGCATGAGTTTATCTTTTTTGAAAGCTAAGCAATATGCCATTGCGTATATATACCACATCTTCTTGATCCAGTCATGTGTTTTGGAGTATTTAGGTCATTTCCATATCCTGGTTATTGTAAACAGTGTTACAGTAAACATAGGAGAGCAGGTTTCCTTTCAATCTCTTTGGGTAGGTTCCTAAGAGTGGAATCACTAGATCCATTTTTAGTAGTTTGAGGATCCTCCACACAGCTTTAAAATGTCGAGCACAGGGCCCTCCCTGGTGGCGCAGCGGGTTAAAGCACAATACTAAGAAGTTTAAGCCACTTCCCCATGAGTTCGATTCCCGCCTGCCCCGGAGGAGAT